TAAACAGAGGAAACAGTTATCTTTGCAAGAAGTATATAATGTATCAAGTTCTTCAGTTGAATGAAATATTAAATAAATCCCTTAGCCACTCAGAAGTAAAATAAAGTTGCTAATGCTAAAGAGACATATGCTTTTATTTCTTAATCACACTATTGAAATCTTAAAATTAAATAATTCCATATTAAAGTACTGGATTTCAACCTTTATCTGTCCCAGGGTTCTAAATGCATTTGAAGAACTCACATTCTAAAATCCACTGTGCTCACTAAAACAGGTCTCCTGATCCACACAGCTCGGCCTGCATAAAGTAGCAACAGATTCAGAAAGAAATAGGGAAGGAAAGTCCTGCATGACCTGAAATCACATCTTCATTGTGCAGCTCAGTTCTTTCCTGTTACAGGATGCTGTGTCCCCTAGTCGGGAAATGCACAAGTGGGTAAAAATGCAAGGCAACCCCTAAGAGGTGGGACATCATGCCATTGAGAACTAAAATTAAGACCCAGACTGAAAGGAGTTATGAGCCAAAGAGGGTGGGGGTGGTGTGAGTACTCCCTGCTCTCCTGCTGGTAGACTGATGAAATGTGAATTCTCTGTCCTTTTCCTGTGTGGCTCTAGCAAGTCATTCACCATGTGACCAGAAGCAGCTACATGCATGAAGAAATGTAGAATAGCTCTGATTTCTAAGGAAAATCTCTTTTTCACAGTACCTACTGTTTGTGATTATTTTTAAGTGTTTCTGAGTCCGCTAAGATCCACTTAATTTAGGCAAATACCTTCATGACAAAAAAAAAAAATACCTTCATGACAAATGTGCTCATCACCTGAGTTGTTTCCTTCCCTCTTGCTTTCTGCCTATCATATTTCTTTTTTTTTTTTGTCATGAAGGTATTTGCCTAAATTAAGTGGATCTGAGCAGACTCAGAAACACTTAAAAATAATCACAAACAGTAGGTACTGTGAAAAAGAGATTTTCCTTAGAAATCAGAGCTATTCTACATTTCTTCATGCATGTAGCTGCTTCTGGTCACATGGTGAATGACTTGCTAGAGCCACACAGGAAAAGGACAGAGAATTCACATTTCATCAGTCTACCAGCAGGAGAGCAGGGAGTACTCACACC